GAAGGATGTGACAGTGGTATGAGTTTAAGTATTTATGTTAAATACGTTACACACTTGTACATATGTTTTATCAACTGATACACTATTATTTTCTTATAAAAGAAAAACAAATGATCGAAATACTCCGCACTTAACGTATAGACTTACGCATATTAAGGTCAGGGATGGTGAGTGTAAGGGGCCGTTTTTCACTTACCGGTAAAACTCAATATTATCGTTCACTTACCGAACAAGATTTTATTCACTAAAACGCATCGTATGCAACAATTTATCTCGGTAAGCGCTAACCATGGTAAGAGTCTTTGTCCTCATTTACCGGGTAAGACTCGAGATTCTTAGTATTTGTCATATTCATCCGGTAAAGTAAATTGATTTGATAAGCGGTTACCCGAGTAAGCGTTTGGTAAACAGTCTCTAAGTAAATAAAAATGATAAGTGGCACCGGTGCGATTCCAAAACTCGAGTGGCTATTCTCGGAATTTCAATAAACTGAAAGGACAATTTGTGTAATTTACTCTAAAATTATAAAAATAAATAAACCATGATAATTGAAATAAAAATTAAAGTAGAGGGCATGTTACACCGAGAAGAGACAAAAGGACTGGAACAGTAATTATCGAGAAAGATTGTGTTTTCAGCAATCCCGATGCACTCACATTCATATCTTAAGTCAAACGTTTGTGTTGGGTTTTTATATGGATAATTTGTTATATTTTATATTTATTTTTTTTATCAGAAAAATATTTACGCCTCCAACTCAATGTAACAATTTTTTTGGATAAGTGTGATTATTGGTAAAATTTGTTTTAATCTTTTTGGAGGTTATGTTACACTTAAAGTATATATTACACAATAAAATGAAATAACAAAAATACATATATACAAATTATATAAGCGATAATGTAACATGTTACTTTTATTTTTGACAAAAATTAGAGGGAAACTGGGATGGATTATAGTTTTACATTCATTGGTAGAAGACCCTAAACAATGTAAATTTAGGAGGCTTATTCAAAATCACACATTTAACTTGCTAAAGATGAGTTGGGTTCTATGTTTGATGCAATATGGGACATGGATTAGATGGGGGTTGAATAAGACAAAAATAAAGTTTTTTTTTGTCTTTTAGTAGAACGAGATGCGAAAAATCTAAAAATTTATCGATCTACCATCATTTGGTATAATTCTAATATGATATTTGGTTTAATGGTCACCACCACCCACTATCACTGCCATCACCACTACCGACCATCTCTATGATTGCCATCTTCACCATTGTCTGGCTAATGATACAACCATCTTCATGTCATCTATAATCACCACCTCTATAAGTCCTCGTCACCCACCTTCATCACCACCACCAAAGGCGGATCCAAAAAAATTTCGAAGTGGTTGCACCAACTAACTACTGTAATATAAAATAAAAATTAATTTAAAGATACAGTTTTATCATACATACATACAATTAACGGTTAAATTATGTTTTTTTTATTGTGTTAACATTAAAAATATAATTAATATTAAAAATATTAAATATTGACTTCGTTTTAAGGTATCAATGAGACATTTCTAACGGTGTAATTTGTATAATAAAGTACGTATTCTTTAATGTATTTTAACCAATAATTAATTAATAAGATAAGAACATAAAATAAAAATTGGAAAAGGAAATGAAGTAAATTAAACTCATTCAAATATTCCTAACTGATTTTCAACCACTATCTCAAGTTTGGCATCGTGGAACTTTATTTCTTACTTTTTCATTTAAACTCCTAAAGATTTTAATGTTTACGGTTTCAACCCAAAAAAACTTATGGTTTCATACTTATTTACCTTAAAAAATTTACACTTAGGCCTTTCATTTTCATGGTCTCATGGAAAAACAATCCCCAAAAGGGTAGGTTCGCACACATGACCACCACCATCGTCCATCAGCACATCGACAATCACCATCTCCACTTTCTCCATAACAACCACCTCCACCTCAACATCCACCATTGTCAATGGCCACCACCACCATCAACCATTTCCACGTCCTCCACAACCATCGTGGGCCACTAGCCACCACCCCCTCTACCTGTACCACCACCATCATCATCCACCTCCGCCACAATCACCACCTTCTCTTCCACCACCAAATGTAATCACCATATAAAATCATTAAATAACATTTAGGGACAACTTGTCCAGCCAAATCCTGTTATGTTCAATTCCAATCGTGCCAAACACGAGACAAAGAGACTTGTCATGCTTATTCTAGTAGGATTGGTTGATACGCATACAAGTTAACTCTATAGGTTTAAAAAAACATCATCCATGGATATATAAGAATCAATATTTACCAAATCACTCATGTTATGATCTTCTACATCCTACGTCTTCCCGTAAATTCATTTTTTTTCTGTAAACATGTTTGCTACAAAAGGATTTTTTTAGTGAATCCCCTAATATATGAAAGAGTGAAAAAATGCTAACCGTTGGAACATACTACAACCCCAGGTGGCAAAGAGTATAGATACCTGAGAAGAGAAGAACCATGTAGTCCACCCTGGACCCGAAAATTTATTTTTCTTTGAATGTGTCATTGAAAGGTAAAAGATTTAATCATTTAATAAAATAAAGTTTTTGATCGGAATATGAATCTAGGATAAATTATCCGTATTTTTAATCTAAAGATTTTATAAAAAAAAATACATATATGCACATATGAATAACATACGAGTCTATCAAATATGATATATATAAAACGCTATTTGTAGCTGGACAATATTTATTTTTCTAAAACTAAATTACACATTTTGAAACTAAAATATTCGTTTTACTTTTTTACATGTTTAATTTAAATATTTAATTTGCCGTCAAAATAATATTGCCATTATTTTATTTTTATTTTTACTAATTTACTGATATATTTTAATGAACACGTGTTACGGTAAATAAAAACAACTTAAAAAAAAAAGGTGATAAAACAGTAAGTTGGTTGACTTCTAAAACTAATTAATTTTTTTTAACTTCAATAAATGTTAATTAAAAAGTATTTTTATAACCATAATTATATTAGTTGTATACAATTAAACTCTTGTACCACCAAATAGAAAATCCCACAACTGTTACAACCGCAAAAACCACTACAGTTATTTTTTTTTAATTATATATAAATTAATAATTTATATTCTTACAAAATGCAGACCCATAACCCAAAAATTGTATTTATTTATTTATTTTCGGTGCATTTTATTTATTAACACTCTTAAAGGGATAATTAAGTGGAAAAAAAATAAGAGCTGTTTGGATAAAGTTGTTTTTGTAAAAATTAATTTGTTTGTATAGATTATTAAATTGAAAAGATTTTTGTTTGGGATGATTTTTCATAGATGAAATGAGTTTTTTTAATTGTGAGGGACGTGTTTGGCAAAAAAAAAAAAAAACTTGTCTTTTTACTAGGCATGGCAACGGGCGGGGATGAGGCGGGTTTTGTAATCCCTGACCCTGGCCCTCGTTTTTAGTAATAGCTCCGGGCCCCGATCCCCGGCGGATACGAGGATTAACATCTCGTCCCCAATCAAACTCCGGTCAAACCTCATTAAGAATATCCGTTAGTTTGAGTCTGCTGAGGATCCCCGGCCCCAACCCTGATTTGAGTAACATCTCTGGCCCCGGTTTGAGTCTACTAGGGATCCCCAGCCCAGGCACCCGTTTTAGTGGGGAATCCCGGTTCGAGTCGGGTGAGTCGGATTCCCTATCGGGTCAGGGAAACTCACCATCCTTACTTTCTACATAAAGTTTACCTCTGTAAAACTGAAAAAATCACTCTCTGTACCATTAAGCCATTTCCAAACAGTTATAAATAGCTAACCGAATAAGCTGTAAGTCATATTAAACTCATTAAGCTGCTAACAAATAAGTCATAAGAACATCTCTAACAAGTATATTATATTTTTTTTAAAATTTGGAGATTTTTTTATTTTCTCTCTGAACAAAATTGTATTAATGGGTATTAAAATAATTCATTTTTTCAAATTAAATATATGTTTTTCAAATATGTTTTCTAGAATAATAACTCAATGAAACTCCAATTACTTATTTTATACAATTTGATAGTTCAAGATTTTCAAACGATACAAAAAATTTATATTCATATCAATCATTTTCAGATATAATTTCGACCAACCTCCAATTTATTTTATTTAAAATAATTAATTGGTCATTAATGTACTTATATTTATTTAGGTTGTGTCCTGTTATTTATTTCTTGATGATATATCGTTTTCTTGCCTACAAATCACATTTGATTAACATTGTACACAAAAACGACATAAAAATCCCTAAATTTTAATTTTTTTGGAAAGAAAAAGTATTAATGGAGATCCATATTTTAAGAAAACCAGCTCGACAATCTCAAAAATAGTATCGATTGCTACGTATATTCTAAAAAGGAAATACAAATTAGTGCGTTTAATGAGATGATAATTTGGCTTTATTACGGATCACATTTCTGTATCCTAAATTTTATTTTATTTTTCAGAAACAGATAATAAACATGATACGGGTATGATACAACCATAATTTCCCATTGGTTTATGTCTCAAAAGGCCATAAAAGTGGAAAGACGTTTACTATACAAATAGGGGCATTTTCGACATTTTAACATGTTTAAAAAGATATAGAATGTGAAGCGGAACTGATTTATACGAGAAATAAACGGAAAAGTCGATCAAACAACGATATTCAACAGGATAACACGATATGCTAAAACAGAAATTACCAAACGAGCGTCTCCAATGCGTTGTGGATCGAAATGACCATTTTACCCTTTGGCATATTCTTTCCCTCTATAACTCGATTACCTTCCATTGCACGCCTCTTTCTTTCTCCCTTAAATAGTTGTACATAAAGAGCGACACTCTCACACGCATCTCTCCTCCACTTCTCGTCAACACCTCTCCATTTTCTCTTTTCCTTCTCAATCAAAATTCTGCATCCACCGGAAGACCACCACCATGTCTGCAGATCTACAATTCCGGCTGCAAGACCTCCCGGCGATCCAATTATCGTCTCTTACACTCAAGCTTCCACCACCGCAACAGGAATCGTCAGAGGAATCATGCAGAACTCAATCGGAACAAGTTGAGGAATGTGTAACCCCGACGTCGCCGGAGCATAGGATTCCTGAAATCCTCAGCTGTCCTCCGCCGCCTAAAAAACAGAGACACTCTGCTCCTTCCTGTAAGAGAAGGCTATGTGAGTTTCAGTTCTTCGAGGTCGTCGCGAGAGAAGAGATTGATTCCTTTTTCAAGTCTAGCTATGAATTCATCAACCAAGAGTCGTCGAAAAAAAGGAGGCGTCCTCTATAAATTTTTACTGAAAAATATTACGAGATTTCATTCAATTTCGAGTTCATGATCATATGAATTCTCTTATATGAATATATGTATGTAATTTTTCACACGTAACCGTTTCTTATGATATGTCGATTCAATTGATATCAGTTATTCCTGTTGATCGTTCAAACTGAAACGAAATTCGGATTGTTTAGATCTGAATTTTAGAATTTAACTTGAGCCTCGGAAGATTTATCGGATTTATTTTTCTCTAATTGTATCTTAAATTATTTGCTCAATTCTTATGACTGAGAATTATCCAGATTCATTCCCCATCATCTCTCTCTCCTATATGTTTCAGATTTCTGTCATGCTTTTCTTCAAACAGATCTGAACGTTCTTCGTGATTGTAAGTTACAATCCATTTCTGTAATTCATCGAGAATGTCTCATGATTGTAAGTTACAATTCTATTTCTGTAACTCGAATTGCAGAATCATATTTCAATTCATAATAATCATCACTTCAGTTCCAACGAGATCCTCTTTTTTTGTTCTGTTTCTATCCATCCATCCATCAATCATTTTATTAAATTCAAATTGAACGGATTACTCTTGTTTTTTATTTTTAGCTATTAGTTTTTCCAACATATAATTGATAATTCCGTTCTTCTATTCATCTCTATTTAAAACCATCTATATTCCTTAAAATATTACAATATTAATCGAATTGAATAGTGTAAAAGCAGAAAATTTGTACTTGAAAATTAAGTAAATTAATATTTAAAAAATATATACATTCATATAATTACTAAATCTGAATAAATTGGAAATGGCGTTAGTTATGAAACTGGGAGAGTACTGTTTAGTTATTTTGTTTCTATCTTTGATGAACAGGGCCCATGCAGAGCTGTCCGTCCTGCTGCGTTGCTTGTACTTTGCGCCTATATTTGTTGCAATTACTTCCTTCCAGAGTTGATACCATTTTTGAGTAATAAATAAATAATTTATGAACCAAAATTCATATCATCAATAATTTAGTATAAATATTTACAAAAAAGCTGGAATAACGTTGAAAGAGGATGGTGAAATGAAATAGATCCTAATTATATTTTAATTAATTTGAGTTTTATTTATAAAAAAACTGGAAATTTGGAAGGAAGGGGAATGGAGTAAGGTTGAAGAAAGTGAAAATGGAGGTGATGATGAACATGTGGTGGTGGTCAGAGAAGAACTTCCAAGTCACGTTAGAATCACAGGATGCCAAAAAACACGTCATCTCTTTCACATTCACATCTCTTTCTCTCCTCTTCTCTTCTCTATCATCACATTTATATTCCAACCCTTTGATCATTTTTATTCGTATATCCGTTCATGAATTGTGTTTTAGGAGAGAATTGATCTAATATATTTTAATGTATCTTACTAGTGTTGAGATTCAATTTTAAATAATCTAAGGGTAAAAATCTCATCTTACCGTTTTCACCATAACTTTCTTTTTCATTGAAACCCGACTTCTTAATTCTATTCCATATTTGTACTCGTACATATCTCATAGTTTCAAATAAATATTTAGAGGTAATTAAAATTTTATTTATTTAACTTTATACAAAATATTTATTAATTAAGAGACTGTTTACCAAATGTTTCGGAGCTCATGTCGAAAAATCCCAGCCCAAAAACTTCATCTCCTGATCGGAAACGTGCGCATATATGTCTGGGAAGGCTCACGTAAAGTTTTGTCAAAATGCGACTCTGTTTGATCATGAAACGGCCATACACCCCGTGGGAAGGCGTCCCGACTCCCCGGGGCCGACCGAGAAAAACCCACGGCCCAAAAACCAAATTTTTATGTTTGAACATTGTTCATTTATGTTCCTGACAGCTCGCGCAAAGTTTTGTTCAAATCCAGCTCCATACGTTCGGGTTACGCCCATACTCGCCCTCCGGAGTCGTCCCGGCTCCCCCAGGGCCGACCCTGAAAAAATCTTGTGCTGTAAAAATACATGTTCTTGTTCGGGGTGTGTTTAAATATGTTTTCGGGGGCTCACGCAAAGTTTCGTATAAAACCAGCTTCATTTGGTTGTAAAACGACCAAAAACGTCCTCCGTAGGTGTCCTAGCTCCCCTAGGTCAGCCCTTAGAAAAAGCCCGACCTGGAAACCAAATTTTTTTTGTTGGGACCTTGTTTTTTTGTGTTCCCAAGGGCTCAGACAAAGTTTCCTCCAAATCCGACTCCGTTTGGGCCTTCTAGGAAAAGTTATGACTCTTCAAAAAATCAATGTTTGTGTTTATATTGGCAAAAGAAATTACCCTAGCTTACTTTATCATGTAACATTTATCGACCATCAAAATGGATTGTTAGTAAGAGTCCTAAACCGAATAAACACTAATTGGATAAAAGTTGTTTTACTTACTTATAGGGTAAGACTATCGGTCCTTTTTATCACTCTTACCAGATAATAATTTTTAGTGCTTGTCATGCTCAATCAGTAAAATAAGTGATATCGATAAACGGTTACCAGGTAAACATTTAGTAAACGTCCCCTAAATATCTAATTTATTTTTAATACACCGAAAAGAAGAGTTATAAACCTTTAGCACTTTGTAGTGATCATCGATCGACAAACACATAAATCTATTTTTGTGGATAAATTTTTTTAAAACCATTTTTAATGTATTAGATACTGTTTAATTATACATATCACTTAAAATTCAAGATTACAAGTAAACGGTATATGAATACAACTTTTTATAGCTACATGTTTGAATTCATACATTAATTGATAAACATAATCAGATACATGATATACATCTCATTTTAAATATAAAGAATCTAAAATATATTTAAAGTAATCATTAAGTTCTGATAGAATATGTAATTATTATCTTATAAAAAATCATATTATTAAACTTAAAATAAATTAATTTGTTATTAAACATAAATTAAATTGCAATAAAAAGAAAGAACTAAAAATTATCTATATAAAAATAGTATACTATTACACCTAAAAATAAATTACTTCGTTAAACCTAAATTAAATTATACTAAGGAGTTGTTTACCAATTCTTACCGGGTAAGTGTTGTAAGAGTACTGACCCGAATAAGTGTTGTCCGGATAAGACTATTTACCAAATGAACAAAACCGCCGCAAAAAACCCAATCTCCGACCTCATTACATCACTGGGACCTCTTGAATCCTCTTTCTAGAACCTCACCGCTTACTAGACATCACGGGAAAGGTAACTCTGACAACATGAAAACTGACAAGATAAGCAACATTTTGTTGCTGGCTCGGTAAGATCTTGGTCAGATTTTTAATCTGTTGATTGCTGATTGTGTTAGTGTTGCTGACCGAGTCAGTCTCGTCAGCAGCTAGTAAACAATCCCCAAAAAAATTATATAAAAAACGAGAACATTTAAATTGTAAATTTGATACTAATATTGTTAAAAAATTTATGGGTCTTCAAATGTATATCTTATTCAAATATAAAAAACATTATTGTTTTTTCAAAACAATCCAAAACCGTATTATAGAAACAAAACATTAAAATTAAGATGTATCTTCTTACATTTAATAATAATATATTTTAAAAAAAAACGTCAAATGTCATATACCTCTAAATAGATGTTTTTAAAACTAAATACTTTTACATATATTTTTTAAAATTAATATATATATATATATTTAAGAAAACGTCAAATGTCATATGCCTCTAAATAGATGTTTTTAAAACTAAATATTTTTACATATATTTTTTAATTTTAATAATGATATATATATATATATATATATATATATATAGGGGTTGGTTCAAATACTAACCAAGATTTTTGTGTTAACTTTGTTAACCAAGTTCAACCAATCATATTTCATCTTTTCTTTAGGTTCATATATAACTCATATATTAATGACAAAGGTAATTAAATAATTTGTCATTTATGTAACTCCCAAATCATTATGTGTGTGTATGTGTGTATTTGCATCATGGGTTGGTTTTGATAACGAGAATCAAAGTAATGGTGAGAAGGTGAAAACAAGACATTTCTATACTTTCATTTGCATTCAACTACCTTTATTAATCTTTTTTTATTATCATGACCGAAAGTTTAACAAATTAATACGAGTGGAAGTGATCAAATGTATGTAAAAATTCGAGAAAGTGACTTAATCATAAAGATAAATTTGAAAATAAAGATAGAAATTAAAGTACTTGAACATAATTAAAGGTACATGAATGTAGTTGAAAGTACTGAAAAACAGTTCAAAAAAATTAAATCAGATTACAAAGTTAACTCATCCAAAGACCCAAAAATGTTCTCATCACCATTCTCACCATAACTCTTATTTTTACTTGCTCTTTCGTCTCTCTATTAATAGAAAGACAAATACACACACCAACTTTTGGTTTTGATGAACTTCGAGCTCTAAAGAACATTTGTGCGTAATTGTCACAAACCGTGGATACCTAATTACCCAAAATCATACAGATAAAAATGGATAATTATTGAGAACATCTGTAACATGTATGTTATATTTTCTTTCTATTTTTTTTAAAATTTGGATATTTCTCCTTTTTTTTCCTATCTACTTTAGAGGAGAGTTTAACATAGTTGTTGGATCAGTTTTTTTTCTTCCAAATCTCTAAAAATTCTAAAATAAGATAGCTGTTGGAGATGTTTTGAATCTGAAGGATAAATCAGATTAAATGGAATTACATTTTCTTTAATCAATATAATTTATATCAATGATTGTGTCATTTGGGTAGGAAGATAAGTCAAAGTCAATTTTTTAAGCAAAGTCAAGTCAACGTTTCAATGTTAAAAAGATGGCAATGTATAAGAAAATGATACTTTAAAAAAAAGCAAAAATATATGATTTACAAACCGGTTTGATAAGTAGTTGTTGTTAGACGAAAGATTAATTGTTAGGTTATAAATTAATTGTTCGTTTTCATGTTTGATAGAAAATAATTTAAAATAATAATATAAAATAACGTAAAAAAATATTATTAATCGAAAAATATAACGAATG